CTCCACCCCACAGTGGTGGCCGCGGACGGCAATAAAAATAATAACTAGAGTGTAAAAGGCTGCACGCTGTCCGATTCCACTTTAGTGAAATATCCCAAATCGGCAAATCCTGTTTGGACAGAAAGCAGATTGGTGGCAGCCTGGGCTGGGGGTGGCGGTTAGCGAGCGACTGCCTACGAGGTACAGGGTTTCCCTTTGGGTGAAAATGTTCTGGAACTAGATAGAGGTGCTGGCCGCACAGCATTGTGAATGGGCTAAATCCACTGAATCGCACGCCTCAAAATGGTTGATTTTATGTGAATTTTGCCTCAACACAAAAAGAAAAAAAATAAAAATAATTAACAATAGTAATAAAGAAAATTAGTAAGAAAAACACCCAGCATTTATTGAGAGATTAGGGTATGTCAGAGCGTTTGATGAACGCTTTCGGTTTTTTTTTTGTTTTTTTTTTTTCCGACAGAGTCTCGATTTGTTGCCCAGGCTAGAGTGAGTGCCGTGGCGTCAGCCTAGCTCACAGCAACCTCAAACTCCTGGGCTCAAGCGATCCTCCTGCCTCAGCCTCCCGAGTAGCTGGGACTACAGGCATGCACCACCATGCCCGGCTGATTTTTTCTATGTATATTAGTTGTCCAATTAATTTCTTTCTATTTATAGTAGAGATGTTGGCCAATTAATTTCTTTCTATTTATAGTAGAGACGGGGTCTCGCTCTCGCTCAGGCTGGTTTCGAACTCCTGACCTTGAGCAATCTGCCTGTCTCGGCCTCCCAGAGTGCCTGTATTACAGGCGTGAGCCACCGCGCCGGGCCCCTTTCTCTTTTTGATTCTAAGTCAACCACAAGGGATAGAGAGATACAAGTGTGTCTGAAATGGTTGGGGGACCGTCAGATGGAAAGACAGTGAGCGTCACCCATGGCACCAAGCGGGGAGGAAGACTCGGAATTAGCGACACAAGAACGTAGGAGCCAGGAGGACACTCAGTCTGGCCTGAGCCTTCTTTCCGATCCCATTTAGCGGAGGTGGCCACCGAGGCCCCACAGCACGTGGAGCTTGCCCGAGGCCGCGCACGGTCCCCGTCCCCCAGCAGGTAGGCGGTGCTCACCCTCCATGTCCGCAATCATGGCCTCGTACTTGAGTCGCAGCTTATTAAGGCTCTTGATCTTCTCTTCCTCCTCGGCCGCCTGGGACGAGAACTCAGCCAAACGCTCCTCTAGCAGCCTCCGCTCCTGAGGGAGGGTGGCGGGGCACGGTCAGGGGCGGCCGCCGCCTCACCTGCAGGTCCCCGTGTCCCTCCCACCTGGGTTCCTCCTCATCCTCGCCCTTCTCTGATGCTCCTCTCATCCCGCCCCTCTTCTTCGCGCTCCCTGGGCTGGACAGACTCACCCCACCCCACCCGTTCCCACCCGTAACTGCAGCGTGGTCACCCCACTACTGTAACTACACCCCTCATTCACGCCCCTGGCGGACGTGGAGGTCAATTTCAACCCGTCATTTGCTATTGCGACCACTACCGCGACAAACGTCCCCGCACTCCTGCTGCGTTAGTGTGTGCATTTCGGACGCTTGCTGCCACTCAAAGCAT